TTCTCTGTTTCACTGTTTGAACCAGAATTTTCAAGCTATTATCATAAAATTTGAGTATGTGTTCCAACTAACTATATTATAATAGCTTGTAAAATTCTAGATCAAAAGCATAAATAGCTTTCATTTTTCAACAAGAGGTACAATTTTTTGTCGTCACAGCAAAAAATGAGATTTTTCTGTTTTACTGTTTGAACCAGAATTTTCAAGTTATTGTCATTAAATTTGAGTATGTATTCCAACTAACTGTGTTATAATTGCTTGTAAAATTCTAGATCAATAGCATGAATCGTTTTCAATTTTCATCAAGAGGCACAATTTTTTGACGTCAAAGTAAATAATGAAATTTTACTGTTTCAAAGTAAAGATCTTATTTTTCTGAATTTTAAATCTACATTAAAAACTTCGTCTTCCTCGGATAAAGTCGACGCCATTCATACCTGGATATTCATACCTGGTTCACCGAGTAGGCCACCCTGGTGAACGAAATAGCAGAAACGGTTCGACTTACTCGGAGAAAGTCGTTGCCGGATCGATATTAATACTTGGTGCTTCGAGTCGGCCACCCGGGTGCACGAAGTAGCTAAAACAGTTCAACTTTCTCGAGGAAAGTCGTCGTCGGGTCGATATTCATACTTGGTGCACCTAGTCGGCCATCCGGGTGCACGAAGTAGCTAAAACAGTTCGACTTCCTCGGAAAAAGTCGTCGCCGGGTCGACATTCATACTTGGTGCACCTAGTCAGCCACCCGGGTGCACGAAGTAGCTAAAACGTTCGACTTCCTCGGAGAAAGTCGTCGCCGGGTCGGTATTTATACCAAGAGCTTCGAGTGGGCTACCGGGGTATACCGGAAATAATCGATCGATCGATAATATTCCACGAGAAAAAAAACCTCATGTGTATGTGTAAAAAAAACCTTATGTGTATGTGTATTCGAGTATGTGTATATACATCATATACATCGACGGCGTAATAACAACGTATAAGCGCATGACGCGAACACAGCAAATGGTCTGAAACTCATTTTGGGTTGACCACTTTTTGGTAAGAACGTTTTTTGCGAAGTGGATTTTTCTTTCAATCGCTCGCATTTCGTTAAAAATAAACTTTTTTCGGTATGTTATATACATCGTTGGATTGCATTTTTATCCAGGATTCCATAGCACTTTACAGAATTAAGATATCTGTTATCAAATTCAAATGAGAGTGAAAAAGAGTTTTCGCGGGCAGCGAAAAACGCCAGTGCGATGTATATGAGGAGCGTGTACGCCGCAGCTCTTTCTGCCATACTTGCCAGAGCGAGCGCGAGCGCGCTCCTCGATATCAACCATCAACTATAACAATACGGCAAAAAGCTATACAATAGACTGCCAGCTAAAAGTTGTTTAACGGATAAACATTGATCGTTCAAATGCATCAGATTCGAAATTCAATAATTTAAATTTATCATAGATGTTAAAGAATACAATTAGGTATAGATAATAACTTAAGGAAATTTGATGAGAAAAAAATACAGATAAGGGAAATTTAATCGAATTAGGCATAAATCCAGTTTTCTTTTTTTTTACACTAACCTTATTGTTGTATAAATTGAAAATTTCCACATTGCAATCAATGCAAAAAGTATTTAAATACTCCAAACGATCGAGATTGAGCGCCATCTATCGGAATTTTGCATGAAATCGCGGGACCACGGATATCGTAATCGTGCCCAAAGAAGGCATAACTCACGCATGGGAGATGAAATCCGTGGAATAATTCAAAATGGCACAGAGGAGCAAAAATAAGGTTGCACACGCACTCGCAAGTTCCCGTATCACCGAGAGTTTGACCTATGACCTGAGATAATTATTCAGCACATCTTTGACCTGCGGGCAACAAGTCGCGTATTATAGACGCGCACTGCAAATCACGCCGAGCTTTGCGGGTCGGCGCCGTTTCTCAGCCTCACTATGATCGGGCGCCACTTCCCAACCAAAATCGAAACGCCGGCGCTGGTGGTGGGGGGCCGCCGCTGCCGGCATTTGCTAGGGAGCTCTTGCGCTGAGCACAACTCCTGGCTATCTCCAGAGAAGTGCAGCACTCTTACCTAGAGTCACAAAGACCTAAGCGACGTGTTCTCTCCGGATCTCCAGAGTTTACACAACTCTCTGACTTTCAGAGTTTCTACAACTCGACGCGTTCGAGTTGTCAAGGTTGTTGGCTGGATAGGGACGAAGTTTTAATAAAGAATTAACTTTGTTTCTCCGCAAACAATCCCTTTTCATTTCTTGCTTCCTTCTAAGCCTCCTAATCCACTTCTACGATTCGAAGCTTCGTCGGTGACCGCTAGGTGGAGCCGCGCCGGCACCCTCAAGCGACGCGCGCCCGCCAGCGCTTAAGTATCGGTCACTTCGAGCCTCGGTCAATTCGATTTTGGTTGATCAGCAAGTGGACCTCCCGCCTACAATAAGCAACGGGGCCAACCCAGATCCACCGACCCAGCTGAAACTGCGAAGCTGACCACGGATTATCATCGGACTCGGGATTCAACTGCCACATCAGTCGCCAAGGAACAGAGTTGGAACTCTGACATGTTGCATCGACCTCGGTCCTTTTCAGATTCACAAAACGTAGGGCGTCGATCTTCTAGCCAAGGTCAACGCGCGCTGTTCAGTAAGCTCTAGAGTTAAAACTCTGCAGCTCTTTACGGCACTCGGCATTCTTTTCAGGGCCACCGTTCGAAAAGTTGTTGGACTTTGTAAAAAATCCAACGCAAGCCGACTTATCGATTTCAGGGTGCAAACTCTGAAACTCTTGTTTCCGTCCCTTTTCAGGACCACTGTTTGGAAAGTCATCGAATTTTATAAGTTCCATGTTATCCGTCTTGTCAGTTGCAAGAGTATATGACTCTGAAACTCTTTTTAGCCACCAGTCTTTTCAGGGCTACCCTTCGAAGGTCATCGGACTTTTATCAAAAGTACGATGCTAGCCGTCTTATTGATCTCTCCCCACCCTTAGGGCAAACGAGTATATAAGACGGTATCTAAGGACCTCCGTTTCATTTTTGATTCAGACTCTGCTAGTGACGACGAGAGATATCTCCGCTTCCCCGCGGAGAGACCAGCTAACGAACCTTTGCCTCTTGAGCGCTTACGTTCGGTAGTTGTAATCCCGCCGGGCAGCGGAGTTAATCGTCGCTACGACGAGGAGCGTGCTTGCCTGTGGCATCCAATTCGGCCCGAACTCTCTGTGCCGCCAGCAGGCGCTCCCTGAGCCGAGTCGCCAGTTTTAAGACAACCCATAGCCCCTCGACCTCGAGGCCGCTCGTTGTTTCCATATCTACGCGAGAATCCACCGATTCCGCTTCTTTTACATCGAACGGTCAAACTCCGTCTGAGACCATGTTTAAACGTAGCATGTGTTTAAATTTAACATGTAAAGTATAGAAAAAAAGGATCACGGAAACAGCTGTATCTCAAAGCAAAATCAAAATTTTTGAATTTCGAAAAATGCAATGGAAAGGGATGGAAAAATCCTACTTAAAAATGCAATAAAAATTTTTTTTGAGTTTAAGGTGTATGTGTTCCCTTAAGTAAAAAAGTCACAGCAACGAATTCATTGTAAACGTAGACATAAGCAAGACAAACAATAAAAACAGAACGAGTAAATAATTAAAGACTTACCTAAACACGATTTCAAACTTAACTTCAATGTGCTCTGTCAAAATATCCTTTATAAGTTGTTTAATACTAATGAGAATTCCATTACATCTTTTGCGTAAAATCATAAGCTGATATTGTTTTCGATATTCATTGAATGGTGAAACAATGTTGAAGGGGATGTTTCTCACGTATGTATAAGATTTTATTTTGTCAACGCTCATATAAAGATTCTGTCAAGTGAAGTTTTGTATTAGGTCAACAACATGAATTTTTTTTCAAGCATCTTCAAATTATTGTTCACATTATTATTAATTCTTGAACGAACCATATAAATTCTTATTACGGTCTTTTCATTTTAAAGTCATCAGGTATTACATAAAAATTAAAAGTAGAATTACTTAAATTGGTTTAAGTAGGGAATGTCACGTTCCACTCAATTATTTTAAACAATTAGCGATATTCATGAGATTTCGCGCTGCGAGCGGACGCGCTGGCCTCGATCTACGGGATCTGACGACATCAAGCTAAGTAGAAAACAAAGCTATAAAATTGGTAAAAACATCGACTTCTATGAAAAGAACATCGAAATCCACACCTCTTACAAAGGTGTGAAATAGACTCGCCATATCAAGCATTGATTAAATGTGAGGCGATGTCAGTTTAGCAGGAAGATCAATGAACTCGTAAAAATTAGCAAAAGCTGTCGTCAGGTTCTCACGGATGAGCAGGTGCTGACAGGTACTTTCTCTTAATTTTGCATGCGAAATCTAGTAGTATATATTGAGGACCCACGGAGGCCTCTGCGCGATTCGACTATTATCTGATTCGGTGTGCACAGCTCACGTCACTTTGTACCGCGATTTTATATCATTCAGACTTGTATCGTATTATTGTATTTGTATTGTATTAAATTGTCCCGCGAGTCTAAGGCGGAGTGTAATTTGTAATCGAGACTAGTGCAGTCAGTGCAGTGCAGCCAACCAGGAACGCCAGCCAATCAGTTGCAGAGTGAGCCACGATCTACGCCGAGAATCGTCCGTAGCTGTATGTTAAGTAGTCTAAGATATTTTGTATATGTTATTTTCACCTTCCATTGTGTATTTAATAATGTCTAATGGCTATGAAGGTGGCACCCAAACTTCAACGTTCCTGCCAATGAAACGCGTCAATGAAACACAAACACGAATATTAACAAAAAACGTCAAAGTTTATTCAAATTGTCGCTAACGTTTCGCTGAGTTTATCAGCCTCCTCAGAGCGATTGTTAGTAGCGAACGGCTACATGTCAACTGAGAGAAAGTTATGTATAATACACGAAAAACAAAAACATCTATACACATGAGATCGCTCAAATTAAAATTATTTTAAAATGTTGAAATAAACTCTGTTGAGTTTGTCAATATCTTCCTTCTTGTTCAAAACATTGCGTTGGTTATTAATATGTATCATCTCCGAGATCATTCTGGGCCAATATTTTGTTTCTCTGTCTAAAATCCTAACTTGGTCCCACCTCATATCATGACCGGGGTTGCGTAAGGTATGAAGCGCCACGACCGAATCATGATTTTTGCTTTTGCAGGCTCGCTCATGTTCTTTTATTCGCGTTTTTAAAGGTCTTTTTGACTCGCCCACGTAACGAGTATCACAGCTGTTGCATTGCAGTTGGTACACCACACCAGCGGTATCCATTGGTTCCACACAATCCTTGCCAAGTTTTATGATTGGAGCCATCGATCGGTCCTGTAGTGGTATAACCTTGATGTTGTATTTCTTTAGCGTGTTTAGGCACCGATCAAAGAAGGTATTTACCGCCGGCAAACACATAGTGAAGGGTCTCACATCGATCTTGGCAGACAAAACTCCGTCTTCACGAATCAACCTCTTCCTTTGGATATCTTGTAGTCTGATGTTTATATATTTATCAATGAACCTCCGTGGGTAGTCATTGAGCTGCAACAAGGCGGAGACTATATTTAAGTTACTGGCATGAAAACTCTTGTCCGACAACAAAACAGCTCGGTCAGTCAAGTTGTACACAATATTGATCTTCTGTTGGGTCGAGTGTTTTGACTTGAAGGAGAGGAGTCTTGTGGTGTTGGTCGACTTTCTATACCAATTTGTGCACACTTTACCGTTCCGGTTAATAAGAGTCATGTCCAGGAAGTTAATATGTCCTCGATTTTCTTGTTCGTAAGTGAACTTCAATGCCGGGTGATAGCTGTTGAACACACGAACTACCGAACTTATGTACTGTTCGTGTACGCAGAGGATGGTGTCATCCACGTAACGATGGTAAAAAAGTACATTACAGCCAAGCTTCTCCAATTCTTTCCAACACCACTGCTCGAGATCGTCCATGACTATGTCTGCAAACAGTGGCGAGATTGGACTTCCCATGGGTGTGCCAAACCTCTGTCGGTAGTAGATCTTGTTGAAGGCAAAAAACGTGTTCTGGAACAGAAATTGTGTCGTCCTGCGTATTTTATCGAACGACAATCTAGACTGTGACAACTCTGTGTATCTTCTGTCCAACGCATTTAAGACTAAATGCTCTGGAATACTCGTAAATAAACTTGAGACGTCCAGAGATAGGAAAATGTAACCGGGAGGAATGGTTATGCTATGCATTTTTTCTTTCAAATCAAAGCTGTTGTTGATGTGTGACGTTGGTCGCTTAACATGAGAAACGATTTCTTCGTACAGTAACTTGGCCACGATGTAAGTCGGACTACCCACGAGAGAAATAATTGGTCTCAATGGCGCATCGGGCTTATGGATTTTAGGCAAACCATAGGCTCGCGCCAAAGATGTTTCACTTAATGACCTCTCAAACTGAGTGCGCTGAATTTTCAAGTCAGCATCCAAAGCGAGTAAGACATCCTTCGTGTTTTTGATTAGTTTTGGTAGAGGATTGCGTTTTACCATCTCGTAAGTCTCCTTATCGTTCAGTAAATCAGACATCTTTTTGGTGTAAAGGCTTTTATCCATACATACCGTCGCGTTGCCTTTATCGGCTCGAGTGAAAAAAATGTGTGAATTCTCTCTAAGAAAGGATTTAGTAAATTTCATCTTACGTAGTAGTGTCTCATCTTGTTTCACAAGAGGTGAATTATTACGTGTGTTCTTATAATTCCTTATAACTATATTGCGGATTTCGTCTTTGATGTTGTCTTCAAAACCCGTGTGAAATAAACTGGATTCAACATTTTTCACCATATTGACGATATTCTCCTGGCGCCATGTTGTCGGTAAGAGATGTTTAGGTCCGAGAGATGCAATTTCAAGTACCTCCGGTGGTAGCTCCTTCTTCGAAAGATTCACTACCCAAGTATTGCAAAGATCTTTATTTTGAAATTGCGCACTGGTTTTTCGATGCAACGACCGATCGAACTTTTTTGTCAGACATGAAGATATACGGTGGTAAGCCTGTGCACTCATGTAATTGGTGGATTTTAGGCAAACCATAGGCTCGCGCCAAAGAAAGATAGTCATATTTGTTTGCTTGCCGCTCACATAAGATACTACCCGAAAAATTATTCAGACAAAAACATGGATCGCTCCACTTCTACAGTTCACACTTGAACGATATGTGCCGAAACTTGCTTGATAAGGTCAATTTCAAAATCCTAGATTTATTTATTGCTGACGTACACACCAAAGTCTCTCATCTACACAAGCGTCTCAATGGACTACGTAGGTCCATTGACAGACTACCGATGTCTACTCAAGCACGCAACGTTTTTCTGGAGATCACCAATTACATGAGTGCACAGGCTTACCACCGTATATCTTCATGTCTGACAAAAAAGTTCGATCGGTCGTTGCATCGAAAAACCAGTGCGCAATTTCAAAATAAAGATCTTTGCAATACTTGGGTAGTGAATCTTTCGAAGAAGGAGCTACCACCGGAGGTACTTGAAATTGCATCTCTCGGACCTAAACATCTCTTACCGACAACATGGCGCCAGGAGAATATCGTCAATATGGTGAAAAATGTTGAATCCAGTTTATTTCACACGGGTTTTGAAGACAACATCAAAGACGAAATCCGCAATATAGTTATAAGGAATTATAAGAACACACGTAATAATTCACCTCTTGTGAAACAAGATGAGACACTACTACGTAAGATGAAATTTACTAAATCCTTTCTTAGAGAGAATTCACACATTTTTTTCACTCGAGCCGATAAAGGCAACGCGACGGTATGTATGGATAAAAGCCTTTACACCAAAAAGATGTCTGATTTACTGAACGATAAGGAGACTTACGAGATGGTAAAACGCAATCCTCTACCAAAACTAATCAAAAACACGAAGGATGTCTTACTCGCTTTGGATGCTGACTTGAAAATTCAGCGCACTCAGTTTGAGAGGTCATTAAGTGAAACATCTTTGGCGCGAGCCTATGGTTTGCCTAAAATCCATAAGCCCGATGCGCCATTGAGACCAATTATTTCTCTCGTGGGTAGTCCGACTTACATCGTGGCCAAGTTACTGTACGAAGAAATCGTTTCTCATGTTAAGCGACCAACGTCACACATCAACAACAGCTTTGATTTGAAAGAAAAAATGCATAGCATAACCATTCCTCCCGGTTACATTTTCCTATCTCTGGACGTCTCAAGTTTATTTACGAGTATTCCAGAGCATTTAGTCTTAAATGCGTTGGACAGAAGATACACAGAGTTGTCACAGTCTAGATTGTCGTTCGATAAAATACGCAGGACGACACAATTTCTGTTCCAGAACACGTTTTTTGCCTTCAACAAGATCTACTACCGACAGAGGTTTGGCACACCCATGGGAAGTCCAATCTCGCCACTGTTTGCAGACATAGTCATGGACGATCTTGAGCAGTGGTGTTGGAAAGAATTGGAGAAGCTTGGCTGTAATGTACTTTTTTACCATCGTTACGTGGATGACACCATCCTCTGCGTACACGAACAGTACATAAGTTCGGTAGTTCGTGTGTTCAACAGCTATCACCCGGCATTGAAGTTCACTTACGAACAAGAAAATCGAGGACATATTAACTTCCTGGACATGACTCTTATTAACCGGAACGGTAAAGTGTGCACAAATTGGTATAGAAAGTCGACCAACACCACAAGACTCCTCTCCTTCAAGTCAAAACACTCGACCCAACAGAAGATCAATATTGTGTACAACTTGACTGACCGAGCTGTTTTGTTGTCGGACAAGAGTTTTCATGCCAGTAACTTAAATATAGTCTCCGCCTTGTTGCAGCTCAATGACTACCCACGGAGGTTCATTGATAAATATATAAACATCAGACTACAAGATATCCAAAGGAAGAGGTTGATTCGTGAAGACGGAGTTTTGTCTGCCAAGATCGATGTGAGACCCTTCACTATGTGTTTGCCGGCGGTAAATACCTTCTTTGATCGGTGCCTAAACACGCTAAAGAAATACAACATCAAGGTTATACCACTACAGGACCGATCGATGGCTCCAATCATAAAACTTGGCAAGGATTGTGTGGAACCAATGGATACCGCTGGTGTGGTGTACCAACTGCAATGCAACAGCTGTGATACTCGTTACGTGGGCGAGTCAAAAAGACCTTTAAAAACGCGAATAAAAGAACATGAGCGAGCCTGCAAAAGCAAAAATCATGATTCGGTCGTGGCGCTTCATACCTTACGCAACCCCGGTCATGATATGAGGTGGGACCAAGTTAGGATTTTAGACAGAGAAACAAAATATTGGCCCAGAATGATCTCGGAGATGATACATATTAATAACCAACGCAATGTTTTGAACAAGAAGGAAGATATTGACAAACTCAACAGAGTTTATTTCAACATTTTAAAATAATTTTAATTTGAGCGATCTCATGTGTATCGATGTTTTTGTTTTTCGTGTATTATACATAACTTTCTCTCAGTTGACATGTAGCCGTTCGCTACTAACAATCGCTCTGAGGAGGCTGATAAACTCAGCGAAACGTTAGCGACAATTTGAATAAACTTTGACGTTTTTTTGTTAATATTCGTGTTTGTGTTTCATTGACGCGTTTCATTGGCAGGAACGTTGAAGTTTGGGTGCCACCTTCATAGCCATTAGACATTATTAAATAGTCTAAGATATTCTTTGTAATTAGTATCTAAGGGTAGCGTAATAAATGATTGTTGTACTTCGTAGAAGGCAGACGACCTTTTATTTATTACCTGTACATTCTCCCCGCCAGATTAAGATCTCATATTATTTAAAATAAGTAGCGGCTCGACAGCCGTTACAGGAATTTCAACAGATAGCGTAATTTTTCTATGCATAAATGTTTACAACGCATACAAGAATTATGTTGTAGCTTAAAAATAATGTATACTTTTACAAGGCCATCAATACAGAAAAGTTATGAAACTCTTGCAGTTATATCTGAATCTCTACAAGTACAGTATGCACTTTTTACATTACCCGTAACAACATAATTAATAAATGTCGCAAATCTCAAATCAAATATATTTACTCCTAAATTCAATTTTGATGTGTAAACAACATAAAAGGCTTGTGCCTAGGTAAAATACCGTTTTGAATCAAAACAGCAATTCATTATATTACTCTAAATTTTTTTCAGCCGATGCACTCAAATCTTTTGATAACAATTCAGAGTAAATATATTTAATCTAGAATGCCTGAATACTGAATTAATTTACTTTAACTTCCAAGAAAGACATTAATTCTTCTGGCTAAGGTGGAGCGAAAAAAAACTGTTTCCCCCTGACACGGGAAAAGTTGCACAATGATGCGAGGAATCATTGGTTGAAAGGATTTTAAATATAAATGACTTTTGAGGGTGGCAATCTTGATTTGAAGGTCGAGGTTTTAAAAAACATGAATTTTTCATAAATTAAACGGGAAAATTCTTCGTATTATTTTAGCAGTATATCTAAAACTTATGAATAGCCTCAAATATTCTAATGCGCGAGTAAAAGGGGCAAAACCACTTTCCTTGAACCTGGTGCACCAGGTCACTGATACAGCTCTGGTTAACACTTCTCCAAGATCTTTATTTCTTAGGGATGGTAAAAGGTGAAGAGAAAGTGCTTAATTGTGCCCCATCGATCAAGTGCATCAGGTCACCGATACAACGCTGGTTAAAACTTTTCTAGGATATTTTCTTCCTACGGGTGGTCATAGGTGAACATGAAGGCTTAATCATGTTTCATCTGGGAGCGCGACGATCATAAATATTATAACCAATTTTTTTAGGGTTTTGCCGTAGCTGAAATTCATCTACGGAAAAATTTCATGAAATTTCATGACATTTTTAATTTTTGTACAGAAACTTAAATTTTTTTGAAAAATTTTCGTATGTTTAAACTAAAATGCTCCAGCATAATTTTTACTAAAAATTTTGAGACACAGAGATGTATTCAGCTATAAATATTTAACTTTCGATACTTAGTGAACAAGAAATTTTAACTCGGACATGAATAATTTTTATGCAATAAATACAACGACGACTGTGGCCATTTCTGAAAAAATTCGTTTTTTTTAGCTGAATATTACATTATTTACGCTAAATTTTATCTCTCAATTTTCTCCAATTTATTAAAATTTTTGTGCTGATAAGGATATGTCAGAGGGCCTTTCTCTGCAGTGCAATCAGCGCGAGGCCCGAGGCATCCCTGAGTTCCCCCAGGTGCAACGTGTGTGTGTGTACGATACTGATCTCTGCGCTGCAATCAAACATCTCTTATGCTTGTCGACGCCTGTATGACTGTGACACACACCCTCTCAGCTTGCCTTTGGTCCAGTACACACGCATCGTGCTGTTACGATTACCCAAAGTTTTGATTCGAGTTATATCTATATTCATAAATATATACTTTTTCGAGTCTCGAGTTTAACATTAATAAATAAAGCAATTTGTGTTAATTCACATCGTGCCTCTACATATATTTATTATAATCCTGCTTCAAAGAATGCTATTAAAACTTAGTAGAAACAAACTATCAATTTGAATAATAATACACGACATATAACACAGGCACACGAAAAAAAATGCTCAGTTCCAGAGACCGGACCCAGGAGACTTAAAATTTTTGGGGTCGTTGATTCCGAATCCATCGTCGGTTTTTCGCCATCAGATCAATTTAAGGTCATTTGAAGGTCATTTTAAGGTCAAATCAAATTCAAATCTGAAGTCAGATGACCTCTACGACCTTACTTACCTTCAAGGTTATTTGAATATAAAAAATAAAAATTTGAATATTAAAATCCGAACAAAATATTGTTTATGTTTTGAGGGTCGCTGAATTCAAATTCAAGGTCATTTTGACTAAATTTTGATATCTACAGGTCATTTAAAGGTCATTTGAATGTCAAACTTAGATAATTCGATATAAAAATGCAAAAAATATCACATTTATATTTTGAGGTTAGCTGAATTTGGAAAAAAGTTCATTTTCACTATACTGAGTTATTTTAAGCTTATTTCAAAATGAAATCTAGTGAAAAAGATAAAGTATCCAAAAGAGATTGTGTATAAATTTTTGGAGCTGAGTAATTCACTTTTTTGATTGAGTAACCTGTAAAAAGTCAAGATCGAGGTCATTTCAAAGTTAATGAAAAGAGGGCAAAACTTGATGAAAGATTGTTAATTTTGCATGCCATTTTAGTTTTTTCTTTTGTAACGCACCTTTTTTTCTTCAAACGATCGGCGTAAAGGAGGCTGTTTGCGTTTAGTTCCTCTAAGTTGGCCCCCACCCATCAGCAGAACAGCAATCTGGATTTACAAAGTACCTATGTATCAATTGCTAATGGGCAGCAGAGATCGTAAAGAACATTATACTGACTACAATTGGTCTGACAGAAATTCTCTAGAATTTGGACACCAGAATGTTATTTACAGTCCGTTAGTAGACCCTAAAAAAGTTTTACTAGCTTTTTTACATATCAAATTGGGAATTATGGAACAGTTTGTAGAAGCTTCGAGTGAGAGCGATGAATGCTACAAATATTTAGAATCTAAATTTTCCTATAAATCTTTTGCCAAATCAAAAGAAGAAATATTCGATGGACCAGAAATGAGAAAATTTCTGAAAGATGACAATTTTCCAACTAAGATGACTGAGATTCAGAAAGCTGCATGAGTTCGCTTCAAAAATGTTGTGAAAAATTCTATAGGTAATCGCAAAAGCGTTAATGACAAAGTTTTAATATCAACAATGATAAACAATTTCGGTGAAATGGAATATGATATGTCTTACAAACTGAATTTCTTGCTTAACCATTCAGATGAGTTCCCAAAAAACTGTAGTGGTTTTAGCTACGAGCAAGGAGAATAATTCCATCAAGACGTTAAACATATGGAGCAGCGATATCAAGGTAGACGAGATTATGCAATGATGGCTGATTACTGCTGTATGTTGAAAAGAAAGAGAGAGAGAGAGCGAACATAGAGGAACTAAACGAAGATGGCAACCTGTATGCATATCGATTGAAGAAAACAAGGGGCGTTACAAAAGGAAAAAGTAAAAAGGCATGCAAAATTAACAATATTTCATCAATTTTTGCCCTCTTTCAAATAACTTAACCTTGAAATGACCTTGATCTTGACTTTTAACAGGTTACTCAATCACAATGCTGAATTACTCAGCTCCAAAAATCTAAACACAATCTTTTTTCGATACTTTATCTTTTTCACTAGATTTTATCTTGGAATAAGCTTAAAATAACTCACAAGGAGAGCTTTTCAGGTCCGCGTCACAGATCTTTACCAAACTTTTTTCGGGGTCGTCTCGAGTCGAGTACTCAATATTGAAGCTCCCTGTGCTTAGTTTGATCTCATGGGCCTTAGGGCCCATTTATTAAAGGACTTTCCACATTATAAAAAAATCTTTGTTAATTTCTTGCGAGGAAGGAAGGGGCAAATAAAATATAATCAATGATTGAATTAAATAAGAACTGTACTGTTATAATTAATTGTAGTTATTTAATCAATTGTTCAGACCTTGAGCTTTACCTCAAATAGTCTAGGAGTTCATTTTTGTTATATTCGAAACTGTTGCTTATGAGTAAATTGGAATAATAGATGGAACACGTCGTGTATATGTCTGTTAGGTATACGCGTATGGCGTATATGAGTTCGCGTCGGCGCGGGCTTATATTATAAGTCCCGGGACTGAGCGTATGCGCGTTATTGTAGTAGCCGCGGTGTAGCGTGGGTGTATGACTGTTGGCGAGAGCGCCTCGTGTGTGCCTGAAGTATATGAATACGGCGTATATGAGTTCGAGTCGGCGCGGGCTTATATTGTAAGTCCCGGGACGAAATGTATACGTGTGGCGACTCACTTCACCGCAGTCTTACATGTATAATTAAGTAATTGAACTGCTAAAGATGTTCACCTATTGTTTTATCGTCGCCAGGCGATAAAACTAATTAATCGTTCAGTTCAGTTCAGCGGCAACCTCCGAGACGAGCTAGTCTCAAATAATAAAGCTCCTCACTGTTAAGAATATTTATATTTCTTGTCCTTCGTTCCTACATTTTGGTGACCCCGACGTGATTCAACGATGGTATTGGAACGAGACAACGAGGTTCGTCGCAACGCCGATCTACACCAGCGAGCTCTCGCCGATGACGCTGCCGCCGCCGCTGCCGCTGCCGCCGCCGCCCTCCTTGCAGAGCAGCAACAACGTGCCGATGCAGCCGCTGCCGCCGCCGCCCTCCTTGCGGAGCAACAACAACGAGCTGATGCAGCCGCTGCAGGCTTTGCTCCTCCGCGATATGTCAATCGCGTGGCCGTGAAACTTCCAGCTTTTTGGATGGACAAGCCGGCCGTCTGGTTCGCGCAAGCTGAAGCGCAGTTCGCTTTGGCTGACATCACCGTTGAGCTGACAAAATACTACCATGTCATCTCTCAACTGGATGTTCGTGCAGCCGCGGAGGTCGAAGACATCATCAGCAATCTTCCGGGTGTTGAACCTTACACGAATTTGAAACAACATCTCATCCAACGTCTCTCGACATCAGAGGAGCAGCGAGTTCGTCAACTTCTCCACGACGAAGAGCTCGGCGACCGCAAGCCATCGCAGTTCTTGAGACACCTCAAGTCGCTTGCTTCCCCGACCGCCGTACAACCTAACCTTCTGCGTCATCTATGGCTCCGGCGTCTTCCTACTCACGTCCAGGCCGTATTGACAGCCCGACCAGAGCTTTCACTCGAGCAACTGTCGGACTTAGCAGACAAAATCGTTGAGATTTCTCCGATTTCTTCAGTGCACGCGGTCGCAGACGCAGCGGAGCAGGTATGCCCTCCCAATGACTCTCTCTTGTCTGCCATTCGAGAGCTTACCTTGGAGGTCAGCGTACTACGCTCTCGTAATGTCGAGAGATCACCTCAACGTCGCAGCCGTAGCCACAACCACAGTCGCAACCGCAACCGTTCGAAATCATCGAACCGACCACGTGACTCTGACAAGTTATGTTGGTATTGTTTCCGTTTTGGCAGTAAGGCGAAGAAGTGCCTTTGCCCGGGAAACGGCAAAGACGGTCAGTAGCGGCGACAGACTGTCTCTCGTCGAAAAGCCGCCTGTTCGTGACGGATCAATCAACCAAGCACCGATTCCTCGTCGACACCGGCTCAGATGTTTGCTGTTTTCCACGACGTCTATTGCGTGAGCGTCGAGCACCAACGGAATTTCGACTTCACGCCGCCAACGACAGCACAATCAAGACATACGGTTTTCACGGATTGACTCTCGACTTGGGCCTTCGTCGACGTTTCTTTTGGCGTTTCATCGTTGCGGATGTGTCGCAGCCGATCATGGGCTCCGATTTCCTCGCACACTACGACTTGCTGCCCGACTGTCGACGAAAGCGTTTGATTGACGCTTCCACGAACCTCTTCGCGCCTGCGTCGATGCAGTTTTCGTCGCAATGCAGCGTCAAGACTGTAGCAGCAAGCGGCGATTACTCGGACATCATCTCGGCATTTCCGGATCTTCTTCGACCTCTTGGTTTGCCGAGACCGATCAAGCACTCGACTGTTCATCACATACGCACGACCCCTGGCCCGCCGCTGTCATGCCGTCCTCGTCGCTTGGCGCCCGAGAAACTTCAAGTTGCCAAGACCGAATTTGACCAGATGTTGCAAGCAGGTGTGTGCCGTCCTTCCGAAAGCCAGTGGTCATCACCATTGCACCTCGCACGTAAGGGTAAGAATGGTTGGCGACCTTGTGGCGATTTTCGAGGACTCAACAGCCGAACAATCCCGGATCGATACCCTGTTCGTCACATACACGACTTCGCCAACAACATCGGAGGATCGACTATTTTCTCCACGATCGACTTAGTCAAGGCGTATCAACAGATACCTGTCAACCCGGACGACATCTGCAAGACTGCCATAACCACACCTTTCGGACTGTACGAATTTCCTTACATGACATTCGGATTGAAGAACGCTGGCCAAACGTTTCAACGCTTCATCGACGAGGTGACTCGAGGTTTACCCTTTTGTTACGTCTACATAGACGATATTTTGATATACTCAAGATCGCAAGAGGAGCACCGCCGACATCTCGAGATTTTATTCAAGCGCCTACACGAGTACGGCCTTGTCATTAATCTCGACAAGTGTTCATTCGGCCAGCCGGAAGTTCGATTTTTGGGTTACCTGGTGTCAGAGGCAGGTGTTCGCCCGCCTGAAGATCGAGTCCAAGCTATTCTCGACTACACTTTACCGAAGACAGCTCACGACCTTCGACGTTTTCTCGGCATGTTCGATTTTTATCGTCGTTTCGTCAAACATGCATCCGAGTTGGAAGCGCCCTTATACGACGCTCTTAGCAAGCCACTCATAAAAGGATCACAGCTTATAACATGGACACCGGACTTGGAAAAAGCTTTCGTTCGTTGCAGAGACAGCATCGCAACTGCGACACAGCTCTCTCACCCCCGTCTCGGCGCACCACTGGGCCTTTTCACCGATGCATCCGGAACTGCTGTCGGCGCGTGTTTGAATCAGTGGATCGACGACGCTTGGCACCCTTTGGCATTTTTCTCGAAGAAATTATCGCCGAAAGAAGCTAGTTGGCCAGCCTATTACCGAGAGCTATTAGCGGTTTACACAGCAGTCCAGCATTTCCGGCACGCCTTGGAAGGTTACACTTTCAAAATTTATACAGATCATAAGCCTTTGATCCACGCATTTACGCTGAAGAAGGAGAAGTTGCCACCGATTCAGTTGAATCAGCTGTCATTCATCTCGCAGATTTCAACTGACATAGAATACATCAAGGGAGCCGAGAACATAGTCGCCGATGCACTTTCTCGTGTGGAAGCGGTCTCATCGATCAATTATGAAGAGCTTGCACGATCTCAGGCTACTGATGAAACTTTGAAAAGTTTTCTCAACGATCCTGGTACATCTCTGCGCTTAAAGAAGATCGAGCTTCCCGGCCTACGCACTCCTGTTTACTGCGATGTTTCAACCGGCAAGCAACGTCCTTTCCTCACGGTTCCGTTCAGGCGCGCCGCGTTCGATTTGATTCATGGTTTGAATCATCCAGGAATCAAAAGGACATACAAGATGCTAAGCGAGCGTTTCATTTGGCCTTCGATGAGAAAAGACTGCACTCTTTGGGCTCGCTCATGCATTCCCTGCCAGAAATCGAAAATCACTCGACATGTGCATTCGCCGTTGGGTTCATTTGCACATACCACGCAGCGTTTTTCACATGTGCACATCGACTTGATTGGCCCCTTGCCTGTTGTAGATTCTTTCAAGTATTGTCTGACCATCATCGATCGCTTCACTCGCTGGCCTGAGGTGCTGCCGTTGAAGGATACATCGACCGAGACTGTATGCAAAGGTTTTCTTCAAGCTTGGATCTCCCGTTTTGGCTGTCCTGATGTGTTGACTACGGATCGTGGTGGCCAGTTCACTTCTCACCTGTTCACAGATGTCGCTAAACATCTTGGCATTCAGCTTCGTCATACCAGTAGTTGGCATCCACAGAGCAACGGGATTGTCGAGGTTTTTCATCGACACTTGAAAGCTTCGCTCCTGGCCCATCAACACGAAAATTGGCTCGAAGCTCTTCCTCTCGTGCTGCTTGGTATTCGCTCAGCTTTCAAAGAGGACATCTCGTCGACTGCTAGCGAAATGGTTTACGGTGAGACGCTGCGCCAACCCGGTGAGATGCTAAAAACTTCGACTCCTGCTCACATCACGGATCCAGCGAGCTTACTACATCGTCTTCGTGCAATATTCCATCGTTTGCAACCGGTACCAGCCTCCAGGCATTGCAAGCCTCGCGTCTTCGTTTTTCAAGATTTGCGTGACTGCGATTACGTCTTCTTGCGCGACGACAAGATTTCGAAAGCTTTGGTGAACACACCTTTTACCGGCCCTTGGAAGGTGTTGGAACGCACAGAGAAAATTTTTAAGCTCATTCGTGGAAAAGCTGTCACCGTGTCAATCGATCGCTTGAAACCTGCCTACGTGTTGGACGACGACGTTTATTCAATCTCTGTGGACAATCCAGACCTTGACACTACTTTGGCCGTTTCCTGTGCCTCGCAGTTGTCGTCTTCGATCAACAACCGAACTAACCGACATGTTCATTTTGATATTTAATATTTGTCGTTAATACTTGTTACTTTTTTTGTTATTTTCAACACTTGTTAATTACTGTGTTATATACTGCGTAGGGGGGTGATGTGGCGACTCACTTCACCGCAGTCTTACATGTATAATTAAGTAATTGAACTGCTAAAGATGTTCACCTATTGTTTTATCGTCGCCAGGCGATAAAACTAATTAATTGTTCAGTTCAGTTCAGCGGCAACCTCCGAGACGAGCTAGTCTCAAATAATAAAGCTCCTCACTGTTAAGAATATTTATATTTCTTGTCCTTCGTTCCTACATACGTGTTACTGTAGTAGCCGCGGTGTAGCGTGAGTGTATGACTGTTGGGGAGAGAGAATCGCGTGTGTCTGCTAAGTATATGCGCATGGCGTATATGAATAGTGTCGGCGCGGGCTTTTATTGTAGGGCCTGGCACGGAGCGTATGCGTGTTACCGTAGTAGCCGCGGTGTAGCGTGAGTGTATGACTGTTGGGGAGAGAGACTCGTGTGCGTCTGCTAGGTATATGTGTACGGCGTATATCTCTTTGTGTCGGCGCGGGCTTATATTGGAAGTCCCGGGACTGAGTATACTTCTGCGGTTGTAGCAGCCGCCGCACACACAACAGGTAATGAGTCACGGCTCTCCGGTGTTATGAAAACACCTGTATACCTGTCAAGCACACGTGCTTGACGGGTGTCCGCTATTTTAGCGCTAGTTTCGCCTTGTTTAAAGCGAAACTGTCGAACTTGTTTTAAGTTCTTTTTGCCGTGAGTTATTCACGGGCTCGCAGAGGAAAGAAAGGAATTCAAACACATACGTTATGTTGTATAACGTATCCGTGGGCCGTGTTATACAGCTGGAGAGTTTGAGAGAGTAGCAGACGAGCTTGTTTTAAGCTCTTTGCCATGAGTTGTTCATGGGCTTGCAGTGTAGGAAAGTGAAGGAATGAAAATGAATTTTTGAACTTACTCGTTGTGTTTTATAACGGCTCCGTGTGCTGTGTTTTACAACTGGAGGTTCAAGGGAGAATGCGAGGTCTGTTGGTTTGTTCATCGGCTTTTTATACTCTCCGAATCTCTATTGTTTTAGGTGGGCTAAGTACATGCTGGAATTTGATTTGACCTAAGGTCGTTAAATTTACGAGTTGGCTGAACAAACCAACCGTCCTCGGATTCTCGATCTTACCACGTCCCACGGGCCAAATCTTTATTATAAAATATTAGACATAATTGTTGACAAAAGTGTGATACAGTGAATTGTTTAAAATCAGTGAGTTGAGACGAGTGCAACGATACCAAACAGTGCATATTTATGATGACTCATTGTTCGTTCGTGAAGTGCTATTGATTTCATTATTATTTTATTAATTGATAGATTACTTGAGTTTGATATCTGTGGTATAGTGACAATTGTTATTGTTTGTTATTCTTGCACTCGGCTTAAAGCTTAATGTAATGTTGTGTTTGTAAATAATCATTTTGAGTCGTTAATACAGCCACGTGTAGTTATACTTCTATGGAGTTATTTTCTATTTAATTGACATCATTGAGTTATAATAAAAATTGAATTCATTAAACATAATAATTAAAGATAGTGAGTTAAAATATTTAGAAATCATATAAGAATAATTAATCATTTGTTAAAATGAGATTCGTTAATCGGGTCGGTAACTTAGGAACTCTATGATCTAGGATTGATATTTTTCTAATGTGGGTAATGGAGTGATTATCGATCGATCATGATTGTAGGCGGGAAAGAAAAAAAACATATGATATCAGTGGCGGTGCTGGACGTCACAGTACATTGTATATGCATACACATGAGAAATCGTTGGTTTTGTGTCAGCTACGAGATCTTGGCGAAAAAAAATTTTAACTAAATTCTGTCCGATGATTCAGAAAGGTTTTGAAGAAGAGATTCTATCCTCAATGAATGGCTTTCAATTTTGAAAAAAATCCAATGCGCACTCTATATGTACGTATTCAAACTATCAACATTGTGATGTTGTGACATGTGAAACTCATTATCTTAAGATCGCAAACGTAATATATGTCATGTCAACAGTTTTGCCCTTGAAATGGTATAGTTTTTGTTCTACAGCTTTTTGTTGCGAATCAAAATCATGTTTCTACGAGTAAAATTGTTGTAAATTCATTAAAATTGTTTGATAAAAGTGTGTGTGTATAAACTTTTTTAATGAAACATTTGATAAAAACGATGGTTAATATTTTTCAATATGAGAAATATCACAATAATGCAGGATTGGGCAACTTATATCAACCATTCAATGACTTAAAAATAAGTTAGAATTCCGGAAAAGTATTATATTATTATTTTCCCTCATCATAACTATGATATAATTTTTCTTAATCTGCTTGTTCTCTTATTTTGATGGATAGTCATCATCTAACTTTAACCGAAAGAACATTGTGCAAATACGATCTTAGTCACAGGTGCAGTTAACTGTTTGAATAAAAAAATTTGGGATAATGATTATTAATTTTCTAATGAGAACATTATAACGCAATGCGCGATCGGGCATAGTTAATATCACATGTTTAATAACTTATAAATAAGTTTGGATTCCGGCAAAGTATTGTATTGTTTTCATGATAATATATTAGCAACAACAGAACTTCAATATCAACGTGACTGATTAATTGTAATGTTTTACGATTCGATTATAATAAGTATTAAAACATCAAAATAATCGTCAAAGGTTCATTGTGTACATATTGTTTACCCATTAACCATGAAACAATTCTTAGTCATTGGTTAATCTTCTATTACTACAGTAATACTTTCGTACATGTGCATTCAGACTTTCAGTACGAAATATCACTTTGCGTGCCCAAAGCTTTTTGGCTTACATGTGAACAAAATCAATTGAACATGTAGGATAGAGTCAAATTACTTTTTACCAATGACCGTAAAATTTCCAAAATAATATTTTAATTTATTACATTACACACATTCAAACGGTCAACGACATATGTCATCTTCGTAATATCATTGTTAATATAAAAAAAAATATATAATGGTTCACAATGTCTACAATAAAAGTTTTTCAATCTATATTCTTACATCGGACCTACTAGCATTTATAATAAAACCATTATGAAAATTTTTCAGCGAACTAATCGAAGATTATTGTTAAATATGAGTAAATGTCACAGTTATCAGTCATATAAAATTATGAGTAAAATCTAAATTTCTAAAATACTAGAAAATATACATTTTTAAACGATTTTTTTATCAACTATTATCCGAATTTTAAATAAATTTTATTTTATGCAGCGAACGTGTCGAAGGTTATTGTTAAATATGAGTAAATGTCACAGTTATCAGTCATATAAAATTATGAGCAAAATCTGAATTTCTAAAATACTCGAAAATATACATTTTCAAACGATTCATGTAAATTTCATCAAACATTATCCATATTTGAAATAAAAAAAAGAATGTTTTATTTTATTTATGAAGTAGAAAGAAAAATATTTTTATAATTCTATAGAAGAGCTATATATAATATGATTATAGATTTGATTTAAATAGATGTCGTGACAACACTTGGTAACCAAAAAGCTCTGGGCACGCAAAGTGATATTTCGTACTGAAAGTCTGAATGCACATGTAGGAAAGTATTATTGTAGTTATAGACGATTAACCATTGACTAAGAATTGTGTCATGGTTAATGGGTAAACAATATGCACACAATGAATCTTTGACGATTATTTTGATATTTTAATACTTATTATAATTGTTACGTTCCGTAACTATCTTCGTGTTATTTAAAAAAAAACAAAAAAAGATAAAAAAAACATGTTATAGATGCATTCTATCGTGATCGTTTCTCACGGAAGGTTGAGTTCCTTTATATACTTTCTTAACGTTGTATCAGTTAACTTTAACGTTTAATTTTTAATTATTTAGCATTACGCTAAGTAATATAACGTATCTTCTTGTGCGATAACTATCAATTTTGTAATTTCATAACGTTAATTAAAAAGGGTTTTTTACTGCCTTTAAGGCTTTTTCCCTTTACTTAAAAGTGTCTTCTTTATTTATAATTTTAAACAATCGTTTTATCAAAAATGATAAAATGATTAATTTTGAATGTCATTATAATTCAAGCTTTTTCATGGTGCCTCCTATGAGGTTATAAAATTGACAGGCGTTGTTGTACATTTAACGTAACAAACTTCCAACGAACGAACGCTAATAACACACAAAACGAACGTGCATTTTTGGAAAATCATCACCGAGCTTCAAATTACGATTGCATTCAATTTGTCCTTCATCGTGCCTATCCCATCCTTCATCATCCAATTGCCATCACTCCTCCGAAAGAAATATCTCCTTCGCACGGTGGTCTTTCGTCGCAAGCATTGGTGAAAGATAAGTTTTGTCTCGATTTTATTTCTTCATCATCATAATATAGTCTGGTAAATCGATAAAATGACAGAAAAACGAATCGAGTACATAACCCAAAAGAAGCTTTCATTCGAAGCTCAAATAAAACGATTGCGTCAATATATCGAGTCAGCTAATGCGAATCCTGTTGTATCAAAATTACGGTTAGAATCATTGAATAATCTTTACAAAGATTATGTGAAATATGTCGATGAACTTGCTCTTTTACAAAAGGATCACTTTTTGCTTGAATCATTTGTCGAAATTGAAATGGAATATTTCGAAGTCGCAGCTTTAGTTAAAGAAAAAGAGCCATTGTCCGCGTCGAATAATTCTAATAATATAAATAATATAACTGTTACTGAAAGGCGCGATACTCCAACTTTGCCAGTTATAAAGCTCCCTACATTTGACGGTACTCATGAAAATTGGTTGGCTTTCAAAAATAAATTCAATGCTTTAGTTCATTCACGTACCGATATTAGTAACATCATAAAACATACTCAACTCGAAAATGCTTTGACCGGAGAAGCGTTGAGTAAAATTGCCGAATTCGTGCCGAGCGAGGAAAATTATTCGAAGGCATGGGATGCGCTTCTTGAATCATACGATCAAAAACGCATGCTGATCGTAGAGCATTTGGATGCACTTTTCGAGCTTTCAGCAGTATCTAAGGCTACAGTTTCAGACTTATCTATGCTCATCGACAAAACTAAACAGCATTTACACATGCTCGAACAGTTAGATTTGAAAGTCCCCGATGCAATTATCGTGCGTATTTTAGAACGACAACTACCGGCCGATACCCGAGCTAAATGGGAAGAAACGCTCGATTTGAATAAAATGCCCAGCCTGAATGACTTTTATACATTTGTGAAAAACAGAGTTTTTAAATTGAGATCGTTGCAACGAATTCCCACAGACGGGCAAATTAATCTTAAGCGTGTAGGCGAAGCGGTTACACAACCTCAACCTGTCAAGGGAGCGAAAACAAACGCTCGCACTTTTGTTACTACTTCAAGTGCTTCCTCTGGTAGTTCAATTTCTTGCCCAAAATGCAATGAAAATCACGCTTTGTATAAATGCGCATTATTCAATAAACTTACTGCATCCGAACGTTTCGAGTTTGCTAAGGCAAATAAATTATGCCGAAATTGTTTATGGATACATCCGTTTCCTTGCAAAAGTAGTAAACGTTGTAGAAAGTGTGAGCGCAACCATCACACTTTACTGCATTTTGAAAATGAAACAAAAAATGTAAATTCTGTTCTGTTATCCTCGAGCACAACATTGGCTGTATTATCAGTAGGCCAGATTAAACTTTTTTCTGAACAACTAAAAATTGTCTTACAAAAAACAACATTAGGATGGATTGTTGCTGGGGGTACAGAAGATTTTATCTCGTCGGTTCAACACTGTAATGTAATCAAACTCGACAAATTAATCGAACGACGTATTGAAGATTTCGATCACGAGCCCATTAAATCTCACGACGAAGTAATTTGGGAACAACACTATAATACATACGTACTACGTGACGATACAGGTAGATATATTGTTCGTCTTCCATTTAGAGATAACCAATTTGATCTCGGTCAATCTAGATAGCAAGCTCTGAAACGCTTTTACATTTTACAAAAAAGATTTGCGGCTAATGATAAATTAAAAGTCGAATATACGAAAGTAATGGACGAATATTTATCCATGGGTCATATGACTCTTTGTGACGACAATGAGGACGGCTATTATTTACCTCATCACGCGGTGATAAAGGAATCGAGTGAGACGACGAAAGTGCGGGTAGTATTTGACGCATCGGCAAAAACAACTACAGGAATTTCACTTAATGACACTCTCATGATTGGTCCTACTATTCAAAACACAATTTTCGAGCAAATCCTTAAGTTTCGAATACACCGAATCGTTGTCACTGCTGACATCGCGAAAATGTATAGACAAATTTTGATACATCCCGAAGATAGAAAATTTCAAAAGATTTTTTGGTTTCATGATGTCAAAATTAAAGCTTTTCAACTTAACACACTTACGTTTGGCACCGCGGCCGCTCCGTTTCTTGCAATTCGAACTATGCATCAATTAGCTCGTGACGAAGCTCATGATTTTCCATTAGCAAGCAAACTTCTTCAACGTGATTTTTACTTTGATGATTTTGTATCAGGAGCCAATTCCATTGAAGAAATTTTAACAATTCAAAAGGAGAGGATATCTTTATTGGGTCGTGGAGGTTTCCTTATCAGGCAATGGGCATCGAATCATGAATCCATTTTAAATAATATTGACAAAAAATTCTTCGATTTGGATTGCATGATCAAGGAGGGTACGATACAAAAAACGCTTGGAATTACATGGAATTCGCAAGATGATGTACTTCAATACACTTTGAAACACGTTAATACTCAAGTAGTAGCCACAAAAAGAAATTTATTGTCTGAATTGTCGAAGATATTTGATCCGTTGGGTTTGTTAGGGCCTGTGATTTTATATGCCAAACTGTTAATTCAGGAATGCTGGAAAGCTAAAATTTCTTTGGATGAATCACTTCCACAGCACATTTATACGAAATGGAAATTACTAGCACAATAATTGCCTAACTTAAAAGAAATTTCAATTCCACAACAAATTTTAATTGCAAATCCAGTTAAGATTGATATTCACGGTTTTTGTGATGCCAGCAATCATGGTTATGGAGCTTGTTTATTCATCAGATCGATTGATTCTCTTAGGCATATTGTTATTAAACTAGTTTGCAGTAAATCGAGAGTAGCACCTTTAAATGGAATTACTATTTCAAGATTAGAATTTAGCGCCGCGTCAATATTAAAAAAGCTCTACTGTGAATCAATATCTCAATTCGAATTTACTGTTGACAAAGTAACTCTCTGGTCAGACTNAATAACACACAAAACGAACGTGCATTTTTGGAAAATCATCACCGAGCTTCAAATTACGATTGCATTCAATTTGTCCTTCATCGTGCCTATCCCATCCTTCATCATCCAATTGCCATCACTCCTCCGAAAGAAATATCTCCTTCGCACGGTGGTCTTTCGTCGCAAGCATTGGTGAAAGATAAGTTTTGTCTCGATTTTATTTCTTCATCATCATAATATAGTCTGGTAAATCGATAAAATGACAGAAAAACGAATCGAGTACATAACCCAAAAGAAGCTTTCATTCGAAGCTCAAATAAAACGATTGCGTCAATATATCGAGTCAGCTAATGCGAATCCTGTTGTATCAAAATTACGGTTAGAATCATTGAATAATCTTTACAAAGATTATGTGAAATATGTCGATGAACTTGCTCTTTTACAAAAGGATCACTTTTTGCTTGAATCATTTGTCGAAATTGAAATGGAATATTTCGAAGTCGCAGCTTTAGTTAAAGAAAAAGAGCCATTGTCCGCGTCGAATAATTCTAATAATATAAATAATATAACTGTTACTGAAAGGCGCGATACTCCAACTTTGCCTGTTATAAAGCTCCCTACATTTGACGGTACTCATGAAAATTGGTTGGCTTTCAAAAATAAATTCAATGCTTTAGTTCATTCACGTACCGATATTAGTAACATCATAAAACATACTCAACTCGAAAATGCTTTGACCGGAGAAGCGTTGAGTAAAATTGCCGAATTTGTGCCGAGCGAGGAAAATTATTCGAAGGCATGGGATGCGCTTCTTGAATCATACGATCAAAAACGTATGCTGATCGTAGAGCATTTGGATGCACTTTTCGAGCTTCCAGCAGTATCTAAGGCTACAGTTTCAGACTTATCTATGCTCATCGACAAAACTAAACAGCATTTACACATGCTCGAACAGTTAGATTTGAAAGTCCCCGATGCAATTATCGTGCGTATTTTAGAACGACGACTACCGGCCGATACCCGAGCTAAATGGGAAGAAACGCTCGATTTGAATAAAATGCCCAGCCTGAATGACTTTTATACATTTGTGAAAAACACAGTTTTTAAATTGAGATCGTTGCAACGAATTCCCACAGACGGGCAAATTAATCGTAAGCGTGTAGGCGAAGCGGTTACACAACCTCAACCTGTCAAGGGAGCGAAAACAAACGCTCGCACTTTTGTTACTACTTCAAGTGCTTCCTCTGGTAGTTCAATTTCTTGCCCAAAATGCAATGAAAATCACGCTTTGTATAAATGCGCATTATTTAATAAACTTACTGCATCCGAACGTTTCGAGTTTGCTAAGGCAAATAAATTATGCCGAAATTGTTTATGGATACATCCGTTTCCTTGCAAAAGTAGTAAACGTTGTAAAAAGTGTGAACGCAACCATCACACTTTACTGCATTTTGAAAATGAAACAAAAAATGTAAATTCAAAAAAAGAAAAACCTAATACGCTTACCAACTCGACATTGTGACTAGCACGCCAATCACTTACTTCAGTAGCCTATCCATCAGATGTGCAACTCGTGCCTACAGTGAGCATTCAAATGTGTGACAATAATAATAAGAAAATTGTTGCTCGTGCTTTGCTCGACTCAGGTTCTACGGTTAATCTAATCACTGAAAAATTCGCAAAACTTCTCAATTTACCGAAACAATCGTGTTCAATCAGCGTGGGTGCAGTCGATGGTCTTCATACTCGCTCAAAGCACTTCATAACAACAAATTTTCGTTCAAAATACAACGAGACACAACAGAGATTACAATTTTTAATTGTTCCTAACATTGCCGATGCTGTACCGAATGAAGTTTTTCCTCGTCACACATTTAATATTCCTCATAGTTTGAAATTAGCCGATCCGCAGTTTCACTTACCAAAACCAGTAGACGTTCTGTTATCCTCGAGCACAACATTGGCTGTATTATCAGTAGGCCAGATTAAACTTTTTTCTGCACAACTAAAAATTGTCTTACAAAAAACAACATTAGGATGGATTGTTGCTGGGGGTACAGAAGATTTTATCTCGTCGGTTCAACACTGTAATGTAATCAAACTCGACAAATTAATCGAACGATTTTGGCGTATTGAAGATTTCGATCACGAGCCCATTAAATCTCACGACGAAGTAATTTGTGAACAACACTATAATACATACGTACAACGTGACGATACAGGTAGATATATTGTTCGTCTTCCATTTAGAGATAACCAATTTGATCTCGGTCAATCTAGATCGCAAGCTCTGAAACGCTTTTACATTTTACAAAAAAGATTTGCGGCTAATGATAAATTAAAAGTCGAATATACGAAAGTAATGGACGAATATTTATCTATGGGTCATATGACTCTTTGTGACGACAATGAGGACGGCTATTATTTACCTCATCACGCGGTGATAAAGGAATCGAGTGAGACGACGAAAGTGCGGGTAGTATTTGACGCATCGGCAAAAACAACTACAGGAATTTCACTTAATGACACTCTCATGGTTGGTCCTACTATTCAAAATACAATTTTCGAGCAAATCCTTAAGTTTCGAATACATCGATACGTTGTCACTGCTGACATCGCGAAAATGTATAGACAAATTTTGATACACCCCGAAGATAGAAAATTTCAAAAGATTTTTTGGTTTCATGATGGTAAAATTAAAGCTTTTCAACTTAACACCGTTACGTTTGGCACCGCGGCCGCTCCGTTTCTTGCAATTCGAACTATGCATCAATTAGCTCGTGACGAAGCTCATGATTTTCCATTAGCAAGTAAACTTCTTCAACGTGATTTTTATGTTGATGATTTTGTATCAGGAGCCAATTCCATTGAAGAAATTTTAACAATTCAAAAGGAGATGATATCTCTTTTGCGTCGGGGAGGCTTCCTTATCAGGCAATGGGCATCGAATCATGAATCCATTTTAAATAATATTGACAAAAAATTCTTCGATTTGGATTGCATGATCAAGGAGGGTACGATACAAAAAACGCTTGGAATTACATGGAATTCGCAAGATGATGTACTTCAATACACTTTGAAACACGTTAATCCTCAAGTAGTAGCCACAAAAAGAAATTTATTGTCTGAATTGTCGAAGATATTTGATCCGTTGGGTTTGTTAGGGCCTGTGATTTTATATGCCAAACTGTTAATTCAGGAATGTTGGAAAGCTAAAATTTCTTGGGATGAATCACTTCCACAGCACATTTATACGAAATGGAAATTACTAGCAGAACAATTGCCTAACTTAAAAGAAATTTCAATTCCACGACAAATTTTGATTGCAAATCCAGTTAAGATTGATATTCACGGTTTTTGTGATGCCAGCAATCATGGTTATGGAGCTTGTTTATTCATCAGATCAATTGATTCTCTTGGGCATATTGTTATTAAACTAGTTTGCAGTAAATCGAGAGTAGCACCTTTAAATGGAATTACTATTCCAAGATTAGAACTTTGCGCCGCGTCAATATTAAAAAAGCTCTACTGTGAATCAATATCTCAATTCGAATTTACTGTTGACAAAGTAACTCTCTGGTCAGACTCAATGATCGTTTTATGCTGGTTAAAAAAAGCTCCTCATTTATTACGTACTTTTGAATCTAATCGAGTCGCAGACATTCAATCGCTCGGAGAGAGAGTAAATTGGAGACATGTAAGCTCTAAGGATAATCCTGCAGACGCTTTGTCGCGAGGACAATTACCGAATGAATTTGTCAATAATTCTTTGTGGAATTCAGGACCTCCTTGGTTATTATTACCAGAAGTTAAATGGCCAACATCGTTAGAAACTTTACCTTGCGAAATTCCTGGGCTGAAAAAACAAACTTGTTTATTTACGGTTACCACGTGTAAGGAAATTTACTCTCGTTTTTCGAAATTTGAAAAGTTCGTACGCGTAATAGCTTATATGCTGCGATGGAGAAAATCATCGATTGAAAAAGATAGTATATTGTCTGTAGAAGAACTTCGTGAATCAGAGGTTTACATATTACGTATGATTCAAAGAGAACAATTTTCGCATGAATTCAAACGTTTATCTACAGCTAAAGATACTTTACCGAATGAAATTACAGTTCCATTTCGAAAAAGTACGCGTTTTGACGAGTGGCATCCTTTCATTGACGACAAAGGACTTATAAGAGTCGGTGGACGTTTAAAAAAATCGCAGTTGCCGTATAATCAAAAACATCCTATTTTATTACCAAGTAAACATCCGGTAACTGACATGATTATTCGTCAAGCTCACGAGCACAATCTTCACGCTGGAATTCAAACAACACTTCATTTTCTTCGTCAAAAATTCTGGATCTTAAATGGTAAAAATCAAATTCGTAACATTATTCGGCGTTGCGTAGAGTGTATTAAACAAAAGCCAATCAAAATTCATGCTCAAATGGCTGATTTACCTGCTGTACGTGTCACCGAGTCGCCAGGTTTCACCCACACAGGTGTTGATTTTTTCGGACCTATTCTCACGAAGGAAAAGAAGTATAAAAATAGATCATTTATCAAATCATACGGTTGCGTGTTCGTGTGTCTAGCATCAAAAGCAGTACATATTGAATTAGCGGTTGACTTATCAACTGAAGGTTTTTTGTCAGCTTTTAAAAGGTTCACGAATCGTAAATGCGTACCAGAGCATATGTACTCCGATAATGGTACAAACTT